CACCCCAGGGACCCACCAGCAGGGAGCAGACGGCAGCTAATTTTGGTACTACTTAAGGGTTCCCCCATCCTGGCCCCGTCCTGCACCCTTCCCCAGTTCGCTGAGTTTTCTTTCCCAAGAGGCTGCAGCACCCAAGGCTGGCACCTCTCCTAAGCTACCGTGTGAAGGCTTCCCCTCTTCAGAAACTGGGGGGCGGGGAGCATCTGATCACAGATCAGACTGGGCATGTTTCTTGGCAGCCTGCCATTTCCAGATGTCTTCCCCATCAAAAAATAAAAATCACTGTTTTCTCTTTAAGTTAGTTACCGGTCTCTCCACTTCCCCCGAAGGGGAAGAGAAAAAAAGAGGAACTATAAAAATTTCTCCCCTCCCTTTATTTAAGCTACTGCCATACCCCCCCCCCAAAAAAAAAAAAAAAGCTGTGAAGCCCCTTGCCTCGCTCTTGACAGCGTGGGGGGCCTGTGGGCAGGGACCATGGGCTTGAATTTCCGGGTTGCTTTCCCTTCCGCTCCGGGTACTTGTTCGGACGTCGGGGTCTCCGCCCTGAGCGCCGTATTTCTTTAGGAGCCTCTGGTTCACTGAGACCTTTCTTTTTCAGGCGGTTTGATCTGGGGTGTTTCTGTTTGTTCTGTTTGGGTTTTTTGTTTCTGCTTTTTTTGTTGTTGTTGTTGTTCATTTTTCCATCCCTATGGTTCTGGAAGCTTCTAGCGTGTGGCATCTGACCAGTTTTGAATTGGTCCTTTCTATAAAATCCGTATTTATAAGGCTGGGCCCCGACTGGTTTTATGCCGTTCAAGGAGGGGTTTGGGGCGGGGAGGGGGCCCTGGGTCTATACGTGGGGAGACAGAAGAGGCTGAGGGAAAAGGGTCCCGAGCGTGAAATTATTTTTGACTGTTCATCTGTGTCGGTTTGGACTCAAATCTCAAACTAGTAGTAGCTTAAACAAGAAGGTGTATTTCTTTAGCAATCCAGTGGCCCCGAAGTCACCAGGAACCCAGACTCCTAGCTCACCGCATCTTTCTTTGCCTGTGGCCCTCACGCTCCCGGCCCTGGGGAACTGTGGGCACTCCAGCCATCACCGTTTTTTTTGCAGGAAGGGAACGCCCCCCCCTCCTCCTGGGCGTCCTGCAGTGGAGAGGAGGCCCTCCAGTAACAGTGCATTCAACATCATTTCATTATAACCTTGATGAGATGGCACAGGAACTTAACTCTTGTTTATATCACTTAGCCTGTAGTAAAGTCGGTTTTGTTATACGTCACTTCGCTTCAAGTTGCTGAACCTATCAACAATGTTAAGTAAGGACTTACTCCTACTCAGTTCTCAGTGGTTGAACTTGGCCACGTGGAAGAGCCGCAGAGGAGACTGGGAAATGTAGTCTTTGAGCTGCATTATGCCCCCAGCATAAAAGATTCTTAATAAAAAAGATCCCTGAAATGATAGTTTTAAAATATCCACTTAATTGTTTACTAGATACAGAGGGATTAAGACATTTAAAAGCCTCAGGTATTAAAAGAAAAGGGAAAATGGGTATTGAGAGGCAGCTCACATTCTTTGATGATCTTATCAGGGAATCAAAATTTCCGGAGAGACTAGGATGGATCATAGTAGTTATTGAATGCTTAGATTTTAGAATCAAAGAGACCTGGGTTTGAATCTTGGCTTATTTTTCTGGTGCTTCAGTTTCCTGTGGAGGGAGGACCAGATTATTTGGAGTCTTGTGCTAAAAACAGGAAGTCAAAAAAACCCTTAAAAGCATTGAATAGCCAATAAAATAGTTAGGGACACACTAAGCTGAACATTTAAGTGAAAAGTCTATGGGGCCCTGAAGCCAATTTTGCTCTGAGGGCAGTTGCTGATGTGGACAAACTTGGGTTTCCTATCTAGCCGTACTGGGGCAGGCAGAAGTCAAGGCCAATGCCTGCCCAAGGTGGGAAACCTACTAGGAGCTGGGATCCCCGTCCCGAACTGAGGTTAGGATGACCCAGAAGATTGCAAAGATGTTCTAAATACCAAGGGCAGCACAAGACAAAAAGAAAAAAGCAGACCTGAACACTCATGTTCACAGACCAGCCCTTAGCTTGGGTTTGCATCAGCGATATTTCCAGCTGAGGTGTCTGACAGAAACATAAATCCTCCAGTAAAAGGAACTACCATCTAGAGTCCCCACAAATACTGTGCAGACAATGAGTGGTAAACAGTTAACTGAATACGCATGGAGATAAACCAGCAGGAGCCAGGGCCAGCAGAAACAGCGAAAGCATCTTCAGGTGGGTGGGACTGCACCGCAGATCAGAAGACAAGGGCTTGGAAATATCCGCAGGAACTCAGAACTGAATAATGGCCTAGCAGATAGGAAAGGAAAATGCCCACGTAGACCCGTATTGGGCCCTGTATAATGCTCACCTGTCACCCAGATTTTTGAGGGAAAAATAAGGCTGTGCATTGTACTTGGGTAGTGCTAATTCCCACGTATAATGAGAATCATACGTGGGAATTAGTACTACGATGTAGGTGCACGTTATACATAGGAGTACATTATACACAGCAAAATACGGTAATAACCAGAAGTTAAAAACTCAGTGGCTGAGCTAAACAGCAAATAAGACACAACTGATGATTTACTGAACCAGAGGTAAATCGGGAAAGTAGCAGAGACCAAAAAAAAAAAAAAGTTTGTAGAGGGAGTACAGTGAGAAAGTCTGGTATTTCATTGGCATTCTAGAATCAGAAGGGAGAACAGGGCAAAAATATTTAGAGATGATGGTTCCTTTACTCCTGGCGGGGAAAAGGGCAGTGAGCGCAGGGAGTCATGGGCAGGATAAATAAAGAGAAATGCACACCTAGACACTGCAGCGACAGTGTCCAGCTCTGTGCTTGTCAGCCACAGTTCCTCTGAAGCTCAGTTTCTTTTCATTAAAAAAATATATTTATTTTTAAAGAGGGGAAGGGAAGGAGAGAAACATGGACCATTTGCCTCTCACACTCCCCACAACTGAGGACCTGGCCCACAAACCAGGTTCATGCCCTGACTGGGAATGGAACCAGTGACCAATCAGTGACTGGGAATGGAACCGGTGACCAATCGGTGACTGGGAATGGAACAAGCGACCAATCAGTTTGCAGGCCGGCGCTCAACCCACTGAGCCATACCAGCCAGTGTGAAGCTCAGTTTCTTAATCTGAAAAATTAGAACACTGATGGTTCCTCAAAAGACTGACGTGATACATTGCATCCAGAGCACTCAACAAGCGTGTTTACTAAATACATCCACATAGTGGCCCCTTCATAGTATGAGGCTGAGGGACCCCAAATTCTGGGCACAAATGAGACTTAGGGAAAACACCTGACCAAGCAGCAGAAGCCATGTGTGAAAAGCTCAGAATCCTTGCTCCGGATTCACGAAAAACTGCATCAGGCCATTTGCTCAGGGCCGGGCATGCAGTACCATCAACCAGGGTGTCTTACGGGGCTGGGGATGCAGCCGTGTACACTGCTTCCCCTCTCAAACTTGGAGATGGTGTCCCGTCTACTTGTTCACGCTTGTGAGGCTAAGGGGACATGGCACATTTATTCTGTTAATCCTCACCCAAGGATATGTTTATTGATTTTTAGAGTAAGAGGAAGAGGGAGGGAAAGACATCAATCAGTTGCCTCGTTGTTGTTTGCCTCCAGACTGGGGATCAAACCTGCAGTCTGGGTCTGTGTCCCAACCAGGGATCCAACCTGCAACCGTTTGGTGTATGGAATGACGTTCCAACCAACTGAGCCACCCAGCCAGGGCGACAGGGTGCACTTTCAAGTACGTGGCACCATGCTTGCCACACAAGAAAGGAACGAACAGGAATCTCCATGGTGTGAGGCCCTCTGGCCAGTGTTTGCCCGGGCCCTTTCTGAACTCTGGACCTCTGCCAATCCCAACTCTAAGAGGCCATCTGTCCACACCCCTCCCCCAAGCCCACTCACACTGCACCCAGTAAAAAGTCTCGGGAGGAGTCACTGTTAACCACCTGTTGGTCCCACACAGGTGACTTGGAAGGGAGGTAGATCGCAGGGTTAGGGGCGCAGCCGTGTGTGAGAACCTGGGCTCGGTGTGAACAATGGTTCCTGAGTCTCCGACCCGACCCCCTCACCTGCAAAATGAGACCCGGAAGTACACCTACCGCAGGATTTGTGGGAGACTGAGTCGGAATGTATAATATAGAGGGCTCCTGGTGCCTGGCCTGTGGTGGGTACCCAACAAATGTCAGGGACTGTGGCAGAATGTGAAACGAGAACTTGCGGTTCATCCTCTCAGTCAGCATTCTCAGTTTCAGCCCACTGAGTTCTCGAATCTTCTCCAGCCCTGAGTTGCCTCAGGAGGCCAATGCTCACCTTGACTATTAATAACCCTCCATCCTGGCCCGGCATCCCTGCTACCCGCCAGGTCTCCCTCCAAGTCACAAAGGCCACAGGTACTGAGCCAGCGCAAGGCGCCCTTTCCAAGGACCCTCCGTGTCTTTGGAGGAGGTTTGCTAGGCAGCTGGGGACGCACCTCCCAGCTGCGAAGCAAAGGAGGGTCGGCATGTCCCAAACGTTGCTGCTTACAAGAGATCTCCCTGGGTGCTTGTTAGGGTCCCAGCCCCTCCCTCCAGTTCTGATTCGTTAGGTCTGGGCGGAACCCGGCAGTCTGCGTGTTTTCAAAAGTACCCTAGTTGAGTCTGAAGAGTAGGTAGCATTTGGAAATACTTCCTCAGGCCATCGCTGGAGCTGTAGTTAGAGCCACCATCTCGCACTCCTACACGCACAACTAACGGGGACAGCGTGGTTTGGGGCAACTATGTTGGGGCGACTCCTGGTCTGTCTTGTCCTTTCTATAAACATACTCAAGCAACTAAAGCCTAATATTTCCCAAAGTATCTTGTGACATACCTGTGGTTCTCTCCGGTGCTCCCAGCCAGGGGTTCCGTGGTGAACTATGTGGGGAAACACTGCATCGTCTTACGCTGGAAAACTCATATCATGCAATGTAGAAACTCGTTTAATGTGGTCTCACCCGGTTTCTTTGGTCTTTTTTCATGCAACACCTACTAGGCTAGTTCTGCAGAGTACATTTTGCATGAACACTAGTTCATTGCCCACTGGGTCTGCAGCATCCCAAGGACAGGCTCCCTGTTCTCTGTTCCTGCTTCCAGCACGTCCTCTGTGGGAGTTAGGTCTGGACCGACTAGTGCCATGGCCAGGCTGCCGTTCTGGAGAACGAACAGCCACGTAGAGAAAGGCCGGAGAGACTTCGTTGGGTTCAGTGGTGTTGCTGGTCCCCATGCCGGTCCGCGGTTTGCCGATCAAACCTGAGAACAGCACTTGGTCCTTGCAAACCTTCAGACCAGTGTCTCCCTCAGGGCAGGGCCCAACCTCATATTCCCTTGGCTTTCACCCCACAGCGGTCTCTTCTAGGTCTTTGGGGAGCGGCAGCTTGAGGTGGTCAAAGGAAAGAGGGTCTTCCGATCACAGCACGAGTAGAGCCTAAGGTATTAAAAAGGACAAGCCAGCACACCCACGGTGGGCTAGCCTGAGCTCTGCTGGCTCTGGGTGTCCTTGCCACAGGCCCTGCTGGACGCTTCTCCTTCAAGGTCAGCCCGGCAGGCTAGAGTCCCAGGTATTCGGCCAGGAACACGGCAAGGATGCGGCTCAGGTTGTGGACCGTGGGTGGGTGCAGGTTGGCCTCCGAGTCGTTGGGCGTGTGCCAGACAGAGGGGAAGGGCGTGGAGATGAGGTGGAGCACTGGGACCCCTGGAGGGCAGAGAGAAGGCTCGGTCAGGCCCCTGGCTACCCAGGAGCCCAGGCCGAGGCCAGCCCTCCCCTGCAGAAAGCACTTCGTCCTGGCACTTGAACTGTAAGTGTGAGAGAGTCCATGTTAGTTAAAAAATATATACCCAGTGCCCTGGCGGGGTGGCTCAGCTGACTGCAGAGTCGTCCTGTACAGCAAAAGGGGGCAGGTTTGATCCTTTGTTCAGGGTACATGCCTAGTCTGTTTGTCTGATCCCCCAATTGGGGTGCATATGGGAGGCAACTGACTGATGTTTCTTTCTCCCTTCCCCTCTCTGTAAAAGCAATAAATGCATCCTTAGGGAAGGATTTTAAAAACCAACAATGGGCCCTGGCTGGTATAGTTTGGTGATTGAGCGCGGGCCTGTGAACCAAAAGATAGCGGTTCAATTCCTAGTCAGGACACATGCCTGGGTTGCAGGCTGGTTCCCTGCAGGCCTCTTCCCAGCAAGGGATGCAGGAAAGGCAACCATACATTGATATTTCTCTCCCTCTCTCCTTACCTTCCCTTCTAAAGATAAATAAATAAATAAATAAATAAATAAATAAAATTTTAAAAATGGCATATTAAAAAAAACAATGGACTATGGGAAGACCAGGGAAAGGGGTGGATGTCTTTGACCTTCCTGACCAGGCTTATCTATCAGGCTCTTTTTTTCTTCTTTGTTAGTTGTTAGCACTTACATACTACTTGTTCTATTCCAGGCCGTAGTCCAAGGCCGTCCGTCGCACGCACTCACCATTTTACCCTTATAATAATTGTACAGGTATGAACGCAGGCAAAGGGGGAGGGAGAGAGGTTTGCTTAAGCTCGAGCCTCTAGCAAACAGCACCGTCAGAAATTTGAACCCAGGCCACCTGTGTCCAGAGTCTGTGCTCTTACCCGCCATTCTACACTGGGTTCCCGTGCTCAGAGCACTTCTCTCTGCGTGTGTCCAGATTTGCTAAATATCAGTCCCCCCACTAGACAGGAGGCAGGTGGATTATGGTGGTATCACTGTATCCCTGACACATCACTCAGTGCCTTGGGAGGTATTCATTGAATGGATCAGTAACGAAGGCATTGTTAGTCCCGGCTGGTGTGGCTTGGGAGGATTGAGCGCCAGCCTGCGAATTGAGAAGTTGCCAGTTCGAGTCCCAGTCAGGGCACATGCCTGGGTGGCAGGCCAGGTCCCCCATTAGGGGCAATACCAGAGGCAACTGGTCAATGTATTTCTCTCACATCGATGTTTCTCTCCCTCTCTTTCTCCCTCCCTTCCCCTCTCTCTAAAAATAAATAAATACTCTTTTCCTTTTTTTTAAGAATATTCTTTTTTTAAAGATTTTATTTACTTTATTTTTTTATTTTTAGAGAGAGGGAAGGGAGGGAGAAAGAGAGGGAGAGAAACATCAGTGCATGTTGCCTCCCATGCGGCCCCCACTGGGGACCTGGCCTGCAACCCAGGCACGTGCCCTGACTGGGAATCGAACTGGCAACCTTGGTTCACAGCCCGAGCTCAATCCACTGATCTACACCAGCCAGGGCTAATAGTCTTTTTCTCAAAAAGGAAAAAAGAAGGCATTGTAAGGAGTGCATATTTGTTGAAAGAGTCAATTGCAGGGTGAAAATTTAAGAAGCAGCCAAGCCCTGTGTAAGCAGGCATTTCACACACCTATTATCTCCTCCTCGCAACCCTGTGATTACCCACATACACAGAGACGTGCTCTTTATGTACAAGTCTCTTCATTTTTTTCCCTGAGGAAACGGGGACTCAGAAAGGCTAAATCATTCGCCTTAGGTCAACCAGGGCTAAGCTGCAGATCCTAGAACCCAGACCAGCCCTGAAACCTATGTTCGGAACCCTTCCGCCAGACCTCTTCCACCCTGGCTGTGCCTCGGAATCACCTTGGGAGCGCTGTAAAGTAACTAACACAAACACGCGAGAACGTGACGTGGCAGGCCCGGCATGTGCCTGGGCCTTTCTCGGAGCTCCTCGGGTGATTCTGCTGGGCCGCCAGGGCCTGACGCACCCACGAGAACTCACATTCTCAAATAAATGTTCCTTGTGTGCCGGGCGCCGGTCCAAGAAAGGTCTTCACGTTTTGTGCCAACACATTCAGCCCCTCAGCAAGGCAGGAACCGAGACAGGGGCTATTAATGTTCCCATCCAACAGATGAGAAAGTCGAGGCACAAGGAGATTAAGCAACTTGAAGCGAGTCCCCCACGCCGGGAAGGGGCCAGGATCTTGTCCCATCCGTGGTTCCTGCGCACCTCTGCCCCACCCCCACTCCCGTGGCAAATACCTCGGCGGAGGAAAGGGATGTGGTCATCTTCCACAGAGCCGGGGGGCTCCCCGGGCTGGAAGTACATCACTTCCTGAGGATGAGACTGCAGCAGGTTCAACCGGTGCAGGCGCTTCTCTGGGGGTTGTGGGGATTAGAGAGCAAAGGTCAGCCGCTTGGGGGTCAAAGGTTCCCCTGCTCACAAATCGGAGGTGGGCAGGGCAGGGGGGTCTGAAGGTAAAGCATGGTTATCCAGCAGAAAGAATGACGGTTACCCTTACTGCTGGTGGCCCATGTTCCCTGCTGGCATTACTATCGTGCCCGCTTCACAGACGGGAGACTGAGGCTCAGGGATGAAGCCACGTGCCCAAGTGGGCACAGCTGGGGAGGAGAGGCCACATTCGAACCCAGGACTATGTGACCCCATGCCCCGTTGGTAATCAGCACTGCTGTGGGGTCAGCTTATGTTCTGCCCTTTGTGTTAGTGCTTCAGAGGGAGGCTAGGAATGCAGGGGGAGGGCTGGGGGAGCCCTCTGAGGACGCATGCCTCCCCTCCCCAGCCCTCCTTACCGATGCTTTTCAGCCGATGGAACCAGCGGGCTGAGTGAGGGAAGTGACTGTAGAAGGTTGGATGGGGGGCTCCCAGGAGATCCAGCAGCACAAAGAGCTCCTAGAGAGGCCAGACGGGAGGGGACGGGAGGGAGGCTGCCAACCCTGCCTCACCTCCTCCCGCCCTCATCGGAACCCAGCGGGGGCCCCCGTCTTACTATAGCCTGGATCCTGGTAGGGCCCGGACTGTGGGGTGCAGACTCCATGAGCTGGGCCAGGTGCCGGGAGCCGTAGAGGGAGTCCTTGGGTCCCCACTCCTTCAGCGCCTCTTCGCCGTCCAAGAAGAGCAGCTGCAAGGTCACCGGGGCTGCCTGTGGGAGCTGGGGCTCAGTGTCAGCCCTCACCTGGGCCCGCCCCCATTTTTTGCCCACTTGCGGAGCTGAATGGGTCAAACTCGGTCTCCTCACTCCTAGACATGGTGGCCTGGAGCACAGACTCCCAGACAGACTGCCTGGGTTGAAATCCTGGCTCAGCTGCTGTTAGTCACCCGTAAGTTACTAACTCCTCAAATCAGGTTCCTCAAGCAGAAATGGGATTATAACAGTTCTAGTCACAGGGCAGGATTCGAATCCAGGTCCTAGAACAGTGACGGGCATACAGTAACTCAGTAAGGGTTGGCTGTGATGATCACCATTAAATCCTATGGCCCCTTTACCAAAAGAGACAGACCCCCACAAAGTGAATAATTATACAAGCAGTAAAATGCATTTGAGACAAATGCTCCCCAGAACTATAGGGTCTTAAAGGAGCACAGGGAGGGGGTGGGGGATAGCCAGGCCCGGGGAGCATGTTGGGTCTGTTGGAAAGGGATGTTTGTGCCCTGGCTGGTGTAGCTCAGTGGATTGAGCTTGGGCCTGCGAACCAGAGAATCGCGGTTCGATTCCCAGTCAGAGCACATGCCTGGGTTGCAGGCCATGTCCCCAGTGGGAGCATGCAAGACTCAGCCACACATTGATGTTTCTCTCTCTCTCTCTTACTCCTTACCTAATAAATAAAATCTTTAAAAAAAATGAATTAAAAAAAAAAACAAAGGGATGCTCACACTGAGGGTAAGTGGGAGCTGGCCTGGCAAAATGGAGGGGAGAGTGTTCCCAGGCCAGGAAGCCATATGGACCACCAGGGCTGAGGCCAGAGAAAAAGCCAAAGAGGTTTGAGAAGAGGCCTGAGGAACCAGGGAGCTCTGGGACCCTGGGGTTTAAGCCACAAGAGCGGGTCTGACCGGGGAGGAGCGTGAGGAGACTTGGGTTTTCGTTCATTCATTCCGCTCATTCTAACTGACATGCTACTCGATTCCAGGCAACACTCTGGGCCCGGGGAACAGAGCAGGAGCCAAAGCAGCCAAGTCCCTGCTTAGACAGAGCATATTCCAGTTGCGGAGACAGACAAACCAGCATAAGCACCACAGATCATGGGACAGGGACAGGGGGTTGGGAAGGTAACATCGAAGTGGACACCTGAACGAAGGATGGGAGCCAGCTGGGGAGATATCTGCGAAAATCACATTCCTGGCAGTGCAAACAGTAAGTGCCAATGCCCTGAGGTGGGAGGGAACCTTATGGACCTGAGATACACAGGCAGTGGGTAGCCAGAGTGGAGTGAGCAAGGGCTGGCAGATGAGGCGGCAGGGCACGCCTCTCGGGGCCCTGTAAGAATTCCGGCTAATGCAAGGAATGAAGTAGGAGCCTCGGGAGGGTCTGGGGCAGAGGACAGACAGGACCTGACATTCAGGACAGAGAAAGATTCCTGTGGCTTTGTGTGTGTCCAGGACGCCAGAAGACAAGACCAGGCAGGGGAAGTGGTGGCTTCAACCCAGGGAGAGGCGGCACCGGCCCTCCACCCCTTCCCTACCCTACCCCCACTCCTCACCCGACCCTTGGCTCTGCTCAGCTCCTGGTCGAGGGCCCGGGCCAGCTCCAGCAGCAGGGCGCAGGGCACAGCTGAATCCGTAGCCCCCACAAAGGGGGCCGACTCAGATGGGAAGAACTTCGAGTCATAATGGCAGGCAAGGGTGAGGTGACGGGCAGCCCCAGGGTCCAGCGTGGCCACCACGTTGGCAAAGTTCAGGAGCCCCAGGGGCGTCGAGGCTGTGAAGGCATCCAGCTCCACGTGCCAGCCTGCCGTCAGCGCCCGTAAAGTGGTCTCCAGGAACTAGTGGGAAGAGAGGTGGGAGGGTGGGCAGGGGTACTGCGGGGGGGAGGTTCGGAGAGGGGCTGTGTGACCTGGGCCATGCAGAGCAGTCCAGTCGGGCTGCCTCACAAGTCCCATCTGGGTTCGAATCACCCCTTTGGCACACTTCTGCTGAGTACCGACTCAGTGCCAGACATGGAATGACCCCACCTCTTGATGCCAAGACTGATCCAGGCTCATCTTTGATAGCACACACTGTGTGCCAAGCCCTGTTCTAGGAACTCTGTAGGGTAGGGACTGTCAGCGATTCAACTTGCAGATGAGGAAACCGAGGCACAGAGAGCTTAAGAAACTACTCCAAGGTCACACTCCAAGTGGCTGAATTGGGATCTGAACTCAGGCGGTACTCAAATGACTCTCGATGCTTTCTGAGAGGCAATATAGAGATGTTACAGCACCAGCTCTGTGTGGTTGAAACCCTCGGTACACCATTTATTAACTGTGGGATTTGGGCAAAATGCCCAACTGCTCTGGGCCTCAGCTTCCCCATCTGCGTAAAGAAGATCACAATGATACCCACCTCATCCAGCTGTTACTTGTGCGTAGCACACAGTAACAGAGGGCAGTACAGTTTGGTGGTTACTCTAGAATAAGACTAGCTCCACTCAGAGCTATACAGCTCTGCCCTCAATGCTTGGGACCTTGCCCATTTCCCATTTTCTAGCGGTCTGAGTCAAGAGCGGCCCATTACCTACCTACCTTTCTGACTTGGAGATTGCCTGGGCTGCCAGGAGTCCTTACAACCAGCAGGGGGCGCAGATACGTGTTCCAGAGACGCTGTGGGTCCAGTTGCCCCACCACCCTCCGCATTCGGGCTTCGGGGAGGCTTCCGATCAACTGGCCCTTGTGTTGGGGTTGGCGGGTCGACAGGGAAGAGAAGAACAGAGCGTGTGAGCAACCCCATTCTGACCCTACACCAGGCGCCGTCGCCTCCAAGAAGCCCCGGTTCCACTTTCTAATCGCGGCTTCCAGCACCAGAGGTTTCTAGGATAAATCCTAGACGCGGAAAAAGTCCCTCGAAGCCCATCCAGGCCAGCCAACCCCAATCCTGATGGGAAATCGAGGCCCAGAGAGAGGAAGGGACACTTCCAAATAGTTGCCTTTAGTACTACAACCCAGAACTCCCACGTTCATTACTCCAGACCCTTCCTCTTAAAGGAGAGTCGCTATTACAGAACAAGCCCAAAGATACATTCCACTGACAGGCTTCCTAAAGACAACGGCAACACCTGCGGCTGGGGCCATATGATAAAGCTACGTCCACCTGAGACCTTAGGTAAGGAGAGACGAAGAACTGAGAGCCCCCGCTGTGCCCCCGCTGGTCCTCACCCGCAGATCCGGACCCGGAGGCAGCTCCTCACTCCGGTGGTGGTGCCAGCCGCTCCAGACGGTGTAGAACGCCGAGGCCAGGGCCAGCACCAGCAGCAGCAGGGGCAACAGCCGCGCCCGCGGTAGCAGGCGGCGACTGGGGGGCGTGGGTGTCTGCAAGAGGCCGCGTTCCCCGAGCCGTAGCCGGGGCCGCCCGCGGCCCCGGGAACTCATGGCAGCTTTGCCCAGAAACCGGTCCCGGACCGCGGATCAAATTTAGGCCCAGCCAAGTCCCACCCCATGGAATCATCGGACGAATGAACAACAAGAGCGGCTGCACCATCTAACCCTCTGCCAGCAGTGAAGCCAATGGGGACTCTCGTTCTGAGGACACGCCTCTCCTCCTTAGGGCTTTCGGCGTCGGTTCCTCCGAGAGTTGCACAAGCCACAAGGGAGCGCGAAGGGTGTAGGCTCCGCCTCAGCTTTGGAGGGGAAGCCAATTAGAAGCGTTTGGTCATGGAAAATATTCGGCCTCCCAGGCGCAGGTCCACGCCCCCCCCGGATGTAGGCAAAGGATTGGTTTCGCGTGTCCTAAAGATCAATAGACACGTCAACGAACCGTCCCCTAAGGGAAAAGGGTGGAGTCTATTCCTGAAACTGAGCAGCGGATTGGCTTCTCGGAGGCCGCGCCCCCAAAAGAGGGCTGGCGGGCATTTGGAAATGCCTCGCTCTTATTCTCCTGCCACCTGTGCTGATCTACAATTAAATGGCTTAAGTCAGACCCGCTTTCCCCCCCCCTCCATTGCCGTGAACACCTAAGCCGCATGGTCCTGAATGACCTTGAACCACTAAGCAAGGCGTTAACCCCAACACTGGGCAAAGCTGGTGGCCTCGCTATGGCAACAGGCCCCGCCCACATCGCCCTTTGAGTTTCCGTTGGCGCCTCAGGAAGTGAGCTGCAGGAAGCGGAAGTCCCGCCCCGTCGCGCACTCTCCAAGGAGGCAGAGGCAACGCGGAGTGGACGGAGGTGTCGGGAGAGTGTATCCACAGCCACCATGTGAGATGGGCAAGGCTTAAACCGTTGTAGTGGGTGGAGGGTGTAAATTTTGCCATTGACCAGAGGAAGGGGATGGCAGAATGGGGGGCGGAGGCGGCGATTTTAGGGGTCAAGTGGCGATTTTTTTCCTGAGTTTGAGAACGGGCGTGGGGCCTTTGACGGCTCCTGAGTTCAGGAGAAGGAACAGCTTTATCATGTGATAAGCTGGCGGCTTTCTCAAATAATTAGTCTTATTGAAATGAATTCTAAGCGCAAGCGACTTTACGAATAAAGAACCTAGAAGAGGGAAGTGTGGGGTTTTAGAAATAACGATTTGAGACGATCCGTATAATTTGAGCTGGAGACGGTTGGCTTTTCGACCCTTAATTCGCGACATTTCCGGATCATGAGACACAGAAATGATTTTATTTGCTTATCAGTTAAGCAATTATGTATTCAGTGCCCATGTATCAGACACTGTTGTAGATACATGGGATATATTAGTGAATGCCGCCCCCCCCCCAAGAAAAGTCCTCTGTTGTAGCTTATGGAGTGGGAAGAGACTGGTGGTTACATGTAATGATTAATAAACTGGTAAAGTATATGGTATGTTAGGTGATCGGGGCAGAGTAAAAACAATAACTAATGCCAATTTTGAGAGACATGAACTGCAAAGCTAGCACAGAAGGACACATGGAGAGGGCACCTTTTGAGCAAAAGACCTGAAGAAAATGAGAGGACAAACCACAGAGGTACCTGGGGAGGCATCCAGGCAGAGGGAAGAACAAATGCAGAGGCCTAAGATGCCTAACCTCTAAACCACCCAGGAGACCACTGGGCCTGGAACAGAGTGAGAGATAGGTAGATGCAGCCGTGGTAAAAACTTTTTACAGTGAGATGGGAGCCATGGGAGGGTTTTGATCAGTGAGGTGATGTGACTTGGGCCTTGGTACACCCCTGGGACTGCTGTGGAGAACACCATTGGGGAGTGTGAGTGAAGAGAGGGAGACCAGTAAGACTCTAGGAGAGAGATGATGGAGGTTCAGGCCATGGTAAAAGTTGGGCAGATTGTGGACATAGTTTAGAGGCAGATGATAGGATTTGCTGACAGGTTGAAAAGAATGAAGATGACATCAGAGTTTTTGCTCTGAGAACTGGAAGGATGGAGTCAGCATAGATGGAGATGAGGAAGGCGGCGGATAGACTAAATTGAGGTGGCCGGGCATTGTGGAGCTCAACCTGGGATGAGCAAGGTTGGAAATCTATTAGGTGTCCAAATGGGGGTGCCAAGCGAGGATTGAGCAAGAGGGTGGGTGTGTTGGGGGAAAGGCTGGAGAGATTCTGAGCCCAGGACGTGCCCACCCACACTCCAGCTCTGGGCTCTCTTAACCTCTGGATTCCATGCTTGCCCACTCAGGAGCCTCCTCAACAAGCCCAAGAGCGAGATGACCCCGGAGGAGCTGCAGAAGCGGGAGGAGGAGGAGTTTAACACAGGCCCACTGTCCGTGCTCACGCAGTCGGTCAAGAACAACACCCAGGTGCTCATCAACTGTCGCAACAACAAGAAGCTCCTGGGACGAGTGAAGGCTTTTGACAGGTAAAGGCTTTTTTATTTACTTTAGATTTTTATTTTTAGAGAAGAGGAAGGGATGGAGAGAACATCAATGTTTGAGAGATACATTTATCAGTTGCTTCTCTCAAGCCCCCAGGCATGTGCCCTGATTGGGAATTGAAGCAGTGACCCCTTCGGTTTTGGGGCCGGCACTTGATCCACTGGGCCACACCAGCCAGGGTCCTCCGGGAAGGCTTTTTTTTTTTTTTTTAAAGATTTTATTTATCTTTAGAGGGGAAGGGAAGGAGAGAGGGAGAGAAACATCAATGCATGGTTGCCTCTCGTGCGCCCCCTACTGGGAACTGGCCTGCTACTCAGGCATGTGCCCTGACTGGGAATCGAACTGCAGTCCTTTGGTTCGCAGGCCCGCGCTCAATCCACTGAGCTATACCAGCCAGTGCCCCGGAAGGCTTTTTGACAAGGTCTTGGGAGGGGCACTGTCCAGGCCTGGAGAAGCAGTCCCAGCTCCAGTCCAAGGAGCTGGGTTTCTCAGAAGCTGGGGGAGGGAACACCTTAATACCCAAGGCATGACCGGCTCTTGCTGCCCCTCCAACTGTTTGTTCATCTGCTTAGAAGCCAGTCGTCATGGGTGCACGTCCCATGACGTGCCAGCCACATGACTTTCAGCACATGACTATCTCATTTGTATGGTGACGGTAACCATAGTGGTTGCAAAGACTCAGTGGCTTAATACATGTCAAGTGTGGTAATCACTGTAAGTCCAGCACCTGGCACACAGGATGTTCTCGATCCATTTGTTATATCATTAGAGCGTATGCCATGCCAGATGCTATTTCAGGCTTGGAGGTGCAGCAGTGACTAAAACAAATGTGGACCCTAAACTTGGGGAGCTTGTCATAGGTAGGGAGGTGTCAGGAAGTGATAATATCTACAGAGAAAAGCAAAGCCAGCCGAGAGTGTAGAATACTGCGAAGGGAAGCCCCCTCTGAAGAAGCAGCGGTGAGCAGGCCTGAGTAAAATGAACGTGCAGACTGGGGTTTGCGTGTTCCAGCTGCAGGGAATGGGAAGTGGGTTTTCTCTCTGGGCCTGTTTCTCTGTCATGCCCCTCAGAGAACACTTGTGAAGACTAAAGATACTACGAAAAGCACTGGACTCGGTATCTAACGTGGGATAATGCTCAACAAACAGAAGCCGTAGCCTTTAGTTAGCATTGGGGAAGCGCTGTCCTCACAGGAGTGTGCTCGGGCTTAATCCTGGCCACCGGCTGTTGTGTGACCGTGAACAAGTCTTGCGTTATGAGCCTCACTTTCCTTGAGTAAAAGGAGATTAAGAACAACAGGAAGTGCGAGCACAAGGAGGCAGAGAGACCTGGATGCGGATGTGGTCTGTGTGACCTGGGGTGCCCAGTTGCCTGCTCTGGAGGTGGGGGCGACACTGGTGTTTACCTCCTGGGGGTGGGATGCTGTGATTGATGGTTTAATGCTTAGAAAGTGCTTAGAAGAGGCCTGGGCGTCTGGCGGGCGCACAGCAGGGTGCGGGGTATATACAAGCTTTATTTTTTTTAAGTTGACTCCTTTCCATCCTCCTCTAGTTCTTACCTGCCCCTATGTGAACCTCCCACCTCTCCCACTGACCCAGCCTCCCCCCTACTGTGTACCCAGTCACATTTCACTCAGGGAGTCTTTCGTGGTGTTGGTACGTCGTAGTCATACCATAAATTGGTTGTTTTAAAAAAGCACCTTCCCTGTGCTCTGGGCATCTTTTCACACATATGAGTGGGCTGAGGATATTGCTATAAGTCAGCTACTGCGTTCTCAACCACCCTATCTATCTACTTAATTATGTTGCTTCCTTGAGTGAGTAGTGCACTTACTGAGCCAAATCTGAAAGCTACAAAAGGCACCCAATGAATAGCAAGTCTTTCCTCCCTGCCCCCTGCCCCCAGTTGCCGTCCCCAGAGCTCCCACCATGGCTGATTGCTCAGGTTCCCTCCAGGATATTGCTTGAATATAACATCAGACATCATGATGGAGGACGATGCTTTCTATTTTTAGGTCACTGCCAATGGCACGGCACACAGTTTTTGACTTTGGCTTTTTCACTTAACAAGAGTCCAGTGAAGAGTTTCTATCTGGCTTGTCCCCTGGGTCACCCTACTGCCACCAATCTCTAGGTGTCTTTCCGAGATTCTGCATTGCAGAAGCGCACGGGCAAGCCCCGGCCAGGTAAAGTAGCTCAGTTGGTCAGAGCGTCATCCGCATAAGCCAGGGTAGGGGGGTCGATCCCCCATAAGGCGCATGTCAAGAAGCAACCAATGAATGCAGCAGTAAGTGGGACGACAAACTGGTGTTTCTCTCTCTTTCTCCTTTCCTCTCTCTCCAAAAGCAATACATTAAATAAAAATAAAGCACGTGGGCAGGCGTCTTCTCCCACCCTTGCCCCCTTTTCCCTGCAAAGGAGAACTTCCCATGCCCCCTGTTCCCCGCGTGCCTTTTTCACTCCACGGCGTCTCCTGGGGTTTACTCCACAGCAAGGCACAGAGCTTCCGCACGCTTCTTAATTTTTTTCTTATTACTTGGATATAATTCTATATATCTTTTTATCCCTTCACCTTGCTTTAGTTTTTCTTTTAAGATTTTATTTATTTATTTATTTTAAATATTTTATTCATTTTTAGAAGAGAGGGGGATGGGAAGGAGAAAGAGTGGGAGAGAAACACCATTGTGTGGTTGCCTCTCATGTGTCCCCTACTGGGGACCTGGCCTGCAACCCAGGCATGTGCCCTGGCTGGGAATCGAACTGGTGACCCTTTGCTTCACAGGCCCGTGCTCAATCCACTGAGCTACACCAGCCAGGGCTTAAGATTTTATTTTTAGAGGGGAAGAAAGGGAGAAAGAGAGGGAGAGGAACATTGATGTATGAGACAAACATCGATTGATTGCCTCTCACTCGCCCACCCCCACCCCCACCCCCACCCCACCGCAACCAGGGACTCGGCCTGCAACCCAGGCATGTGCTCTGACTGGGAATTGAACCGGTGACCTTTCAGTTCACTGGCTGGCGCTCAGCCCACTGAGCCACACCAGCCAGGGCTAGTTTTTCCTCATAGCAGCCAGCACCTGACAGTACATTACAGGTCCAGGTCTCTGTTCTCTTGCCTCGCGTCCTTCTCCCCTCCCTAGAACGCGCACCCCATGACGGCAGGGATACTGTCTGTTTTATTCATTACAAGCGATCGTTGAGTGAGCTGCTCCATACTCTCTTCACACCTGCCCGCCCAGCAATCTGAGGACCAGGACAGAGCAGGATGAATGGAGGCTCGGGCACCGCCTCAGGCCCCAGGGGCCTCTGGTTCTCCAAAGGGAAGCAGCTCCTTTGCGGATGCCTCCAGAAATAGCACGAGTTAAAAGGCACAAGCGGAACCGTGTCGTCTGCCTCGCTCTGTGCCGGGCCCTGTTCTCAGTCTCTCACACCAGAACGCTGTGTTGATGCATGTAACCTTCACACCAGCCCTGTGAGATGTTTTGGAGAGGGGGAAGTTGAGGCACAGAGCCACGCGGTCCTTTGCCCCAGCCTCCCCGCGGGGACTTGCAGAGGTGGCGGTGGCCGCCCGGCTGTCCCGGCCCAGGGCCCGCAGCCTCACTGCTGGAGGGGAGAGGCAGCACCTCAGAGAAGGCTGCCCCCTCATGCCCGCCGCCCCCCCACTCCCTGTCCCCTCCAGGCACTGCAACATGGTGCTAGAGAATGTGAAGGAGATGTGGACCGAGGTCCCCAAGAGCGGCAAAGGCAAGAAGAAGTCCAAGCCAGTCAACAAGGACCGCTACATCTCCAAGATGTTCCTGCGCGGGGACTCGGTCATCGTGGTCCTGCGGAACCCGCTCATCGCCGGCAAGTAGGGCCCGTCCCTGCCCACAGGACTCGCCATCCGCCCCCCACCTGCAAAGGCTTGACCTTGACCCTTGACATGAAAACAATAAACTGTGTTTTTTTTCTAGTGGCGTCTGTCTGTTCCCAGGGCCCTGTGAGTGGGGTGGACTTGGGGGAGGGAGACAGCTGGGTGTGCGGCCCAGCATCGGCATCAGGACCTCGAGCAGGTGAACAGGTCCTGTCTCTGCCCCCTCCGTGCCTCAGTTTCCCCATATGTGCCATGAATCAGTTAGAGCTTTTGCTCTTCCCTATTTCAGTCTTTCTTAGCTTGTGCTTACTACTCTCCTTTCTTCCCACCGCTCGATGAGTCGATCTGGCTCAAAATTTCATTTGTTCTCTTTTCTGTTTGTTGAGTCGGGGAAATGACCCCTAAATACCTCCTCTGTGTCTAGCTCTGTGTTGCCATGTTGGGGACACATCAGGGCCTGGGACAGCCCCCGACCTGCCCTCACTGACAGGAAGAGATACACATTAAAAAGCCATCAGTACCCAAATAGTGGTGGCCGTCATGCTGCCTGTCACCTGCTGAGCTGTCGCTGCCAGCCCTAGGCTCTGCTGTTCAGGCTCCTCCCAACAGCTCTGAGCAGGCTCTGTCATTTACTACCTCCTATTCCCAGAAGAGGGAGTTAAGGCACAGAGAGGCTGAGAATTTTCCCCAAGTCACACAGCTAATAAGTAGCCAGACTAAGATTTGAACCAGGCTGTTTCCTGCAGCTTTACACTTTTTCTTTTGGGTAAAATAGCAAAACTTGTATTATGTGTATATATTATGATTTAAAATGTGGTTAAAAATACAATTAAATAAAAATGGTTATATGTAAATAATATGTTACCTTCCACAGCTAAGCACTCAGTAGCCAAATAATCAGACTGTTGATTCGAAGACTTGAGGCTTGCAGCTTCACTCTTTTTTTTTTAAGATTTTATTTATCTTTAGAGAGGAAGGGAAGGAGAGAGGGAGAGAAATATCAATGTATGGTTGTCTCTAGTGCATCCCCTGCTGGGAACTGGCCTGCACCCAGGCATGTGCCCTGACTGGGAATCGAACTGTGATCCTCTGGTTCACAGGCCTGCACTCAATCCACTGAGCTACACCAGCCAGGATTCACATAGGTAGTCTTTTTTTGTTAAGATTTTATTTATTTTCAGAGAGGGGGGAAGGGAGGAGAAAGAGAGGGAGAAAAACAGTGTGTGGCTGCTTTTCACACTCCCCATACTAGGGACCTGGCCTGCAGTGCAGGCATGTGCCCTGACTGGGAATCGAACCAGTGATCCTTTGGTTTGCAGACCAGCACTCAATGCACTGAGCCACACCAGCCAGGGTCCACACATGGAATCTTAATTGTATATACTGTAAATGTTTATATGTAAGCGTTAGATCACATGAACATTTTCTATGGCAGCTCTCTGACGCAGGGCGGACAGGGGCAGCACAGTGTCTTGTTGATGTCCATGTTACCATGGCAACACGTGACGGGATGAACAGTGCTACCCTCCAGGGGGTGTGGCCACCACAGGCGCCCAGCCAAGACAGATCCTCTCACACACACACACACACACACACACACACACACACAACTGCTGTCCTGGCCAGGTGGCACGATCGTAGCAACATCCAATACACCAAAAAAGGTTTTGGGTTTGATAGTCAGGGCCCATACCTAGGTTGTGGGTTGGACCGATGTCTCTCCCTTCCCCTCTCTCTAAAATCATTAAACATCCTGGGATAAGGATTAAAGACACACAACTGTTACGTCATGCTTTATTTACAAGGGCCCTGCCCTGGGGCCTTACCCTCGCAGAACCCACAAAGGAGGCCCAACAAGGCCTCCTCCTGCTTAAAGGACTGAGTTCTGCCCAGGGAGCTGGAGACCCAAGGAGAGGAATCAGCAACACCCAGGTACTAACTGAATCTGAAGGATTTAGAAGTGAGGGTTTTACCTGTGTAGAGGTGGCCCAGCTACATTGTGGCTCTTGGTTCCCCCCAGTTCTCCCAGTGCCCTGGGGTCCCCCAGGAGGGTGGGAATGCGCAGCCACAGTCCCCACCTAGCCGTGGTCCTGGCCTCGGATGTCAGGTCTCGGCCAAGGCCTTCGTCTGCGCACTGAATCCTCTGCACCCCAGTGGGCTCACACTTCTAACCTCTCTCGTGAGCTCCAGGCCCTTAGTCCCAGCCCAACATGTCCAAAGAGCACTCCTGGTTCACCCCATCCTGAACGCAGCCTCCCTATCTCCTCTCTCCACGGTCTCAAACCTACCAGCCTTCCCGGACTTCTTGCCAAACTTTGCTCATGCGATCCCTTGCCAAACACTCGGCTCTACCATCAAAACAGCTCCAGAGTCCTGCTGCTTCACACCCTCCGTGGCTGCTACCCTGCTTCAGCCACCATCCGCCCCTGCCTGCAGTGCCCTCACTGGGCTCCCACTTCCCTAACGGTCTGTTCGCCCACAGGGCAGACAGAAGGCTCTGTTTAAAATATCAGGCCCTGGCTGGTGTGGCTCAGTGTACTGAGCGAGGCCTGTGAACCAGGGGATCCCCGGTTGGATTCCCAGTCAGGGCACATGCCTGGGTTGCGGGCCAGGTCCCCAGTAGGGGTCGTGTGAGAGGGAACCACACATTGATGTCTCTCTCCCTCGCTATCTCCCTCCCTTCCCCTCTCTCTAAAAATAAATAAAATAAAATGCAATAAATAAAAAATACATTAGCCCATGAGGTGCTTGCTCCTGCTAAGAATTTTCCATGCACCTGGAATAAATCCCAACTCCTGTGCCCCTGCCCAGTCTCTCTCCATTTGTTGGCTTCAATTCATCCCAGCTCCAGCCATGAAAGCAGCCGCTCTGTTTCCAAGACAAGGCCAAGCTCCTTCCTGCTCCTGTGCCTCTGCAGATGCTGTTCCTTCTGCCTAGAATCTTGCCTGCCAGTTCTTCCCAAAGCTGTCTCCTTCACCGCTTGCAATCGTGGCTTAAATGTCACCTCCACAGAGATGCCCGCCCAGACCACCCTAGGCACCCTTCTAATTTTTCCTCATCAGCCATTCCACACAGTGGGTATAGAACTTGTACTTCACGGTCTGCTTCCCCCCACTCAATTGTGAACTCTAGGACAGGGACCTCGTCTTCTGTTGCCTGCCCCCACCCCGCCCCCACTTCCCCAGCACCCTCCACAAGGGGCTGGGTACACAGTAGGCACTCAATAAATACATGCTAACTGAATGATCGCAGCAATCCCCTGCCTAGCAGTAACTTTCCAAGGCCCGGCCAGCCTCATCCCCAGCCCCTGGAAGGTTCCCCGAGGACACGGTGTAGCCAGTTGCGATCTGGCGGGATCCCGAGCCCAAAGGCCAGGTCGAAGAGGCACGTTCGGGGGGCTGGCGCGGCTCGTCGCCCAGGCTGCGGCGCAGGCGGCAGCGGTGCCAGCCACGGCGGATCTCCGACCGCACCTGCAACAACAGGACGGCGCTCAGAGGCGGTGCCCGGCACGCTGTTCCCCGCGCGGCCGCCAGAGGGCGCGGGCCAGGGCTCTCCCTACCTCCTTGTTGATGAAGCAGTAGAGGAAGCTGACCAGCAAGCCCTGTCAAAGAAGGCGCGGGGTTAAATCAGGGGTTGAGGGCAGAATTATAAACACCCCTTTAAAGCCCGGACCTTTGCCAGGCCCTAGACCACAAAAGTCCTAAACTTTTGTAGTCACCTTCTCCTCGGCTCCCCGCTCCCACATTTGCTCTCCCCACCCCTTGCCCTGTCTGGTTTGCTGAGCAATAAAAAGGACCCCGCATGTGATAACCACTTCCCTTCTTTCTATCCAACTTGGGCAAGCTGCTGAACCCCTCTGGGCCTCAGTTTTTTCATCTGGAAAGTGGGGTAATACAGAGGTCGTGGTGAGAGAATCGAGGTATTAATATGCAACAAGCACCCTGGCTGGTGTAGCTCAGTGGATTGAGCACGGGCCTGTGAACCAAAGGATCGAGGTTCAATTCCCAGTCAGGGCACATTCCTGGGTTGCAGGCCAGGTACCCAGTAGGGGCCACTCGAGAAGCCACCACACATTGATGTTTCTCTCCCACTGTTTCTCCTTCCTTTCCCCTCTCTCTAAAAATACATTTTAAAAATGCAAGAAGCTGTGGTGCCTGGCACATAGTGTCAAACCTTTTTCTTAATCTTATTATGACTTCTCTTTCCATTATTATATATTATGTAATCATTATCAATGATTAAACTAGTTATTATCATTGTTATTGGTTAATTTTAATGATTGAGTATACATTATTAATAGTTTTCACAATCATTCATTGTTTTCTACTTGGATACAGTCCACATAGAAATTTCAATAAATAGAAATACACTTAGATTTATAATTAATAATAAATCACTGGATAAATTACTACAAGTTGATAATTTACATGTGTCATTGGTCAGCTATTGTCTTCTCTCCCGCTGGCTCCCGCTGCTTTGGGCACACCAATCTTCATCGTGACAGACCCTCACTCCCACTTCAGGGTCATTACCCTTAAGGGTTCTCTTACTGGAACGTTTCCCCAGTAACTGCCTCGCTCATTCCCTCCCCTCCTTCCAGTCTCTGCTCCAACATCTCCTTCTGGGGGAGGCCCTCCCTGATCCCCCACCTATACCCCTGCCCTTCCTCTGATGCTCACCTCTATTTTCTTGCCTTTCCCCCCCCAGGCATATCTTCACATCTGCCATTCCGTATATTTTATGGGGTTGGCCAAAAAAGTTTATTTCCTTTTTTTCCGTACAAGGCTCTAGTAGTGCTTCAATTTCATTGTCTTTAATTTCATTAAAAACAATTTTCTTAGATTGTATGATGACAGCTGCCATATCAGTGTGCATTTTTAAAAACGTATCGAAATTGGTGAGTTTTTTGCGCAGCCATTTTAATATTAAGGGTGGAAAAAACATGCAACATTTTTTGGCGTGTGATGCTTTATTAATCAAGAAACGTAAAAATGCAACTGAAATGTAAAAAGAAAAAGATCTGTGCAGTGTGTGGGGAAGACGCTGTGATAGATCGAATGTGTCAAAAGTGGTTTGTGAAGTTTGTTGGGACTATTGAGATTTAGCCAAATAATTCTCTGCAGTGGGGCTGTCTTATGCACTGGAAGATGTTTAGCAGCACCCCTGGCCTCTACCCACTAGAAGCCAATAGCGAGAGATACTGGACATACTCATAATATCCAAATCAATAGTTATTGGTAAAAACGAACAATGCATCTTTTACAGAAAATCTGAATGGACTTTCTGGCCAACCCAATACCCATGTGGTGTATTTAGCATCTGCCTCTCCCACTAGAAGGTAGAGACCATTTGGTTCTTTTTTTTTTTAATTTAATTATTTATCTTTAGAGGGGAAGGGAAGGAGGGAGAGAAATATCAATGGGAGAGAAATATCAATGTATGGTTGCCTCTCGTGTGCCCCCTGCTGGGAACTGGCCTGCAACCCAGGCGTGTGCCCTGACTGGGAATCGAACCACGATTCTCTGGTTCACAGGCCCGCACTCAATCCACTGAGCTACACCAGCCAGGGCTCTCATTTGGTTCTTTTTGGCATGCCCACAGTGAGCATGGAAAAGTGCTCAGCACATAGTAAATATTCAGTCAGTGTTTGCTGAATTTAATGAAACGAACAGGCTTGTGGGGTGAAACTAGTGTTGTCCCCACTTTAGAGATGAGAAAACTGGGCCGGAGGAGGTACAGCAGGGTGGGGCCCCGTGTTAGGGCGAGCAAGTGCAAGGTCAGCCTTTACTTTTGGAGGGAGGGTCTCCTTACGTTTTACACTTTAAGTAACTGTCTTGCCCACCCGAGCTCCGACCTTCAGGTGAAGGCCACAGAGCTTCCAACTGCCAGACCCCAGGGTGGCCCCAGCTCTGCCAGGTCTTAAAGCCCTAGGTCTTCATCAGGAGGCAGTACTGCTGAGGCCACCTGTCACCTGTCTTGGTCCCTGCTGCTTCCTCAACTCAGCACAGAGCCAGCTCAGTGTTTTGTGTAGAATGAATGAACAAAGTCCCGTCCTCACGCCCCCTTCAGCGGCTGCGCCAGAGGATGGCGGTAACAACCCTCCTGCCGCTTTGCGGAGAAGGGCCCGGGTGGAAGGGGTGGAGCGCCCGCGCCCAGCCTGAGCACCTGGAAGGAGCTGAGGAAGATCTCAAAGCCGAGTTTGGCGAAGCGCAGGTGGCCCCGGGCCTGTTCCTCTGTCACGGGAGCAAACACCACCTCGTGGACACCCAGCAAGGGCACCAGCGTCAGCATGGAGCGAGCCAGCCTAGGGGGAAAGGGTGGCAGCTGTGCTGTGGCCCCGGGTCCCCATCTCCAGCCTGGCCCTCAGTCCCTACTTATCCCCCTCCCTTCCCTACCTCAACCGGTAGTCCCGGTAGCGCATCTGCCGTGTCCTCAGTTTGGACACGAGGATGCCAAGAATGCGGATAAAGATGAAGAAATTAATCTGCGGGGAGAGAGAGAGGCTGAGCCCTCCGGATCCTGTTCTAGGAGATACAGGGTGGCGCCCCTCTTCCCAGGATAGGAAATCCCTAAAGACGGCCTGGAGGAGGCAGGGCCGGCCGTACCAAAATAGCCAGGAGGATAGGGGTGCGTATGATCCACCAAATGGCCTTGACCTCGTTCCGCTCCCAGCACCTGCAGGAGTGGTTGTAAAGCTAAAGGGTTGAAACCGCTGGAGGCGCAGGTCAATTATTCACTCGCCAGGCTCCGCCCCTCTCCCTCAAGGCCACACCCACATTCTTTAAAGCCCGCCTGTTACCAAGCCGGCCCCGCGCTCATCCCGCCCCTTCCAGTAGTCCTCGAACAGTCTTTCCCAGCTGCCATTTCTTTACACCCCCACCCACCCCGCCCCTCCAAGCCCCCAGAAGCCATCAGAACCACCCCGCGTTTCCATCACACCCGCCCACCTGCCTCAAAGCCCCGCCCACCTCCCAGGCTAGGCCCCGGACCCGCGACTCACTGCGTGTCCTCGTACAGGTACCTGACGATCACCCAGGGAATGACGAAAAGCGCGGGGGCCCCTGTGCAGACCCCGACCCCCGCCCCCCACCCCGCCGCAGCTGTCAGCACGTGCACGGGCCCCGCCTGGCCCAAGACCCGCGGCATTCCCCGGCCGAGGTGGGGAGGCAAACGCCTGCAGAGAGGAAGAGACTCCCCGAGACAGACAAGCAGGGTAGTCGGGGCGCGTTGGTGCACCGGGCTGGGCAGGGGACAGGGTCGGGGCTCACCCCAGCCGAGGAGCAGGTAGCAGCGGAAGTGGCCCCCCTTGGGACCTCCCACGAGCACCAGGAGGCTGTGCAGGTAAATGCCCTCCACCAGTAGCCACGTGTAGCTGGCGCCCACGCAGTACTGGGTCACGATCTGGGCCGTTCTGCAGGTGGCTATAGCCTAAGGGGTGGCCAGACATGGATGGGGAGGGGCGGTCAGAGCTGCGGGTGTCCCCAAGGTCTCCTCCACCTGGTCGTCTTTCCACCCCATTTCTTTCTCTCTCTCTCTCTCTGTCTTTCTTTTTAAGATTTTATATATTTATTTTTAGAGAGAGGGAAAGGAAGGGAGAGAGAGAGGGAGAGGAACATCAATGTGTGGTTGCCTCTCGCGCGCCCCCTACTGGGGACATGACCTGCAACCCAGGCATGTGCCCTGACTGGGAATCCAACCCGCAGCCCTTTGGTTCACAGGCCCATGCTCAATCCACTGAGCCACACCAGCCAGGGCCCACCCCTATCTGTTGTCCTCCAATATTCTCCCACTCTACATTCCCGAAGGACAGTACTTGTGGCTGGTTTCCCACTCTAACCTCTTAAACAATTGGTATCTTCCATCTCGCTATCAAAGTTTTCCCAGACCCTCCCAAATCTGGCCTCTCTCCTTCTGAGAAATGAACTCACCTACTCCACCTCTCCAAAGGTTTCTTCCACCCCATCACCCCTTACCCACCCACACACGGATTCCCCCGCCCCACGGCGTCCTAACAGCTGGAGTGGGCCAAGCGGCTACAGGATAGTTTTTCTCATCTCTGCCCTCAGCCTCTGGTCTCTCTCACCTTGTCTCTTAGGAACAAACAGGAATCTATCACTTCCCCCCCCCCCCCATCAGCTGCTTTCTCCCATCTTGTCTCCTCCTCACCTCCAGCAGAAGACTCTCCCATTGGTGGAAAGTCCCATGACTGGTAATACAGTGAAAGAGAATGGAAATTTCCAATAAAGTGATGGGGTCAGCAATGGAGGGGGCTGAGTTGGGAGTCCCTCTCCAAAAGTATTTGGAGTGCTCAAGAGACAGAAAAACTTAGAGTGTACGGGGTAGCCACTAGAAGGGGAACCGCCTAGCCTACTACAGCGGCAGAATCGCAGTCTGTGGAGCAGAAGGACGACGCTCACCTGGTTCCACAGAACGGGGGCCTGGTCCCCAGGGGAGGGGCCGAGCGGAGGCAGCAGCCGGTCTCGGGTGAGGATGGCTGCCGCCCGCAGCAGGAAAGATGTGAACAGATTGATGTGGATGTAGTTTCGAGTGCAGTGCAGCCGCCTGCGGGGTCGGGAGGCGGTCTAGGGACTCCTGGAGACCTGTCCTTGGCCACACAGAGCCCCTTAAACCACCTCCCAGCCCTTCTTCCCACAGAACCACCACTGGGCGGGAGCTCGTTGCGGGTGGAGGCTTGACCACCCCATCTTACTCGCCAAACTAAGGCTCAGTCTCTGCCTCTGCCCCTCACTGGGGGGTGGGCTGGGGGGTCCCACCTGAAGAAACCCAGGATGAGCAGAGCTAGCAGCAGCGCGGCCAGGGACAGGGAGTAGCCCACGGTGTAAACGACCTGGAGCCGCTCCAAGATCCGCCTCTGGTCCTGGGGAAGGAGGGGAAGACACAGGAAGAGAACTCGGCTTCTTCCCCAGGACCAGAAAGGGGCCAGACAGATTTCTGCTCTTCTCGCCCAACACCTCAATTTTCTCTTGAGGATCCAAGTCCCCTTGTCTGAGTGGGGCTAATGCCACCACTCAGCTCCAGGGCTGGACGTGAGACCAGCCAATCAGAGCATTCTAACACCCCCACACTCTCCTACAGAGCGAGTAGTCCAGGGTGGCCATTGGACCCAAACCATTAAGAGTCCTCAGTCCTGTGAGTTTGGAGCCAGGGGGTACTTAAATATTGAGGGGTTTACTTTGTAAATTGTGTGATTGCTTAACTATCACGCTGTACACCTGGAACCAATATAAATAATATTGCATGTCAACTGTAAATGAAGAATAAAATTCCCCAAAAGGCAGTCCTGGGACATTATGCTGGAGCTATTGAGAACAAAGCTCAGTCCCCCCACAGTGTTGCCTGGTGGGCAGGATATGAGCCCAGTGTTAATGGGGAAAACCTTTTCCACTCCACAGAAAAGATGAGACCAGCAAAGAGAAAAATATAGACACAATATGGTGAGCAAAATATATATATATATATATTTCCAACAACATAGTTCCAGCACCTAGATCCAGCTGCACCTGAAGCTGTAAAGTAAATACATTTTATTTCCATCAAGCGAGTGTAAGTTGAGTTTCTATCACTTGGAACCCTGAATCGTGAGCAATACAAGGGGTTCAGGCTTGGTCCGAGGGGGCTGCCTCTTTACCTCTCCCTGGACATCCAGCCTGAATCCCTCACCTCTTCTTACCTGGAAGGTCCCATTCTTGTCTGGGTTCTCACACTGAGAATGGTCTCTCCAAGATCCCCATTGGCCATCACTGCCACACTGGCGAAGGACAAAGCCTGCAGCCACTGTGGGGAATTGAGGGAGGGGATCAGAGGCACAGAGAGAGAGGGAGACAGAACAACGATTGTGAGACTAAGGCAGGGAGAGACAGCCAATGTGATGGTGACGGGGATAGGCCCTCAATTATGTGGAGTTTTACACGGCATTGATTTCATATTCATAAGAAGCCTATAAAGTGGGTACTATCATCAATCCCACAAAGAAGTTAAACTGCCCTGGACTGCATAGCTAGTTAGGAAAGGAACTCCAGGATGCCCAGAGACATATTCAGAAGAAGGAGAGAAAATAAGAACCGGGTGGTCCTCGGACAGGTGGAGACGGAGAAGGGGCATTATCAGGCAGAGGCAGGATCAGGGCGGTCCAGCCAGTGCTGGACAGTCGGAGGGGGGGAGATACCTAGCTGGAAAGAGGGAAGCAAGAGATGGGGCATAGGTGAATTTCGGGGAAATGGTGTCTGGGGCAAGAATTAGGAGCTGTTTGTGTCAGAAAGGGCCCGCAGTGCAGGGAGCACCTCACCCTGATGGTGCCAGGGCAGGTACCAGGGGCAGGACGCACGGGCAGTGGTATTGGGCGCAGCGTAGTCCCAGCAGACGTACATATCGAAGGACCCATTACATGCGAGGCCTGGGGGCGGGGCGTGGGGGCCAGAGGTCAGGTGTACCTACCGCACCACGCCCCTTACACCCACAAGCCCTGCCCTAGGCCCGCCCACCTGGCTCCGCCCACAAGACCCCAAGGCCCCGCCCTCCCACAGCCCTACTCGGGGCTCTACACCGAGCAAGTTCCCTTCGCAGGTGCCTCCCACTCCGCTAGGCCCTTCCAGGGCTCCACCCCCAAGTCCCTTTGCAGGCCACTTCAGGTTCCACTCACCCAGTGCAGCACCCCCGAAGACCCCGCCCATTACAAGCTTCTTCCCAGCCTTCTCAAACTAATCTGAGCTGCCTCGCGCTCAGGTTTAGGCCCTTCCCACCGAGGCCAAGCCCACCCAGGCCTCCCCGACCCAACCCGTATCTGCGTCCCGGACAACGCTATCAGGCCCTGCCCTTTAGTCCTAGGACCGCCCCAAGCCCACCCCGCCGAACTCTAGCCTTTCCCGTCCCCCCAGCCCACCCCCTCCGCCTCCTCTCCAGTCACACCTGCTGGGGGCTCCGCGGCTTCCAGCGTCTCCTGGCACTCCCAGCGGTAGCGTTCCCAGCGCTGGTACAGCTCCCCCGCCGTCTGCCCCTCGGAGCCTGTCTAAGGAAAAAGAGAAGGGAGGACCCCCACCCCCCGCCGACCTCTGCTCCCACCCAGGCTGCGTGGTTCGTGTGGGCCAGAAGCCCTGGAGGGACTTGGAGGGGCTGTCCTGTCTTGGGTGGCAGAGAAACCTCTTCTGTCTCTTGAGGGGTGCCTAGAAACCACCAGGGGAGTTAGGGGGCAGGAGGAGAAGGGGGACTGAAAACCTTCAGGAAAAGCAGGGGAAGTGGTGGCTGGAAATCATCGGGAGGGTTTGCGAAGGAAAGAGGAGGGATTGGAAACCACCATCAGAACTCGAATCTGGACAAACGGACCAGTCTTCCCCCTTCTCTGCAGTGGAGGGAAGACTTAAAACCGGCCCCAGACCCCCCTCCAAGCCTTGAACTCTTGGGGCTGCTCGGGTCCTCACCTCCGCCCTCCGGAGCAGCGGCCCCCACAGCGAGAGCAGCAGCAGCGGCCTCCAGGGTGGACGGCTGGGCATGGCGCGGGCGGCGAGGGTCAGGGCACGCGGGGGCAGCCGGCCTGGGGGGTCGGAGCCAGGGTCAGGGGTCAACACCCCCCCCCCCCCCGCGCTGACCCCAGCCCCAGCGCCACCCAACTCCGGAGTCATACACGCAGACTCCGAGGCAGCGCCCCCTGCCGGCCATGCGCGTAATGATATGGGGGGAGAGTGGGAGAGACGCGTGGATGGGGGGTGAGGCTGCGATCCGACACGTGATCCCCGGGCCCGCCCCCGGTTGTCACCGAAGCGCAGCAGCCTCGCGGAAAGGGGAGGGGGTTGTTTGCCGAGGGCGTGGTTGCCCTAGAGCTGCGCCCGGAGGAAGTGCTAATGTCACCCCGAGTCTGGACGTGGAGGCTCCGGGGAACCTGGGGGTGTCCTGCAGAGTCACAGAAGCCGGCGGGCGCGGAGCTTGAAACGACTCTTGGAGTTGCCACTCTCGGAGTGCAAAGGGTGTTCAAATCACAGCCAGAAACCCGACCTGATAAAACTTTCCCCGCTGTGCATAAAGCCCAGAGTGCACGGGACATCCCTCTGCTGAGGCACTGGAGAGGCGGACTTAGGTCTTAGGTCTAAGTCCTAAGACCGCGGGCTTAGGTCTGCAGGGGGCCCCCTGCCTGCAGATCTGCCCCACTCGGAACAGCCCCCACCCAGCACCAGGCGGGGAGAGGGGGGCAGGGGGCGTCTCAGACCAGCCCACGGGCAGCAGTCAGTCAAATTAGGGAGGCACGGCCTGGACCAGGGACTAAAAGGCCGAGAAACGGGCAAAAATATGGGCTGGGAGGTGAAGAGGAGATAGAGGCGTGGAGACAGACCAGGATGGGAAGAGAGGCAGAGGTTACAGAGCTAGGTAGAAGTGACAGAGATTGGGACGATTCGGAGAGACAGACAGACAGGAGGTGAGAGGGCGGGGCACAGGCTAAGAGAGAGGGACCCCAAAACTTGAGGGGGCCACGGGGGTAGGGGGGCTGGGCTTGGATTGGGGGAGCCCTCACCGGTCCTGCTGCCGCCTCCGCTGCTGCCTCCACTGCCCCGCCTGGGCTCTGGAAGAGGCGACGGCCTGTGGTGGTGGGAGGGGGCGGGGCCAGGGCTGGCGGCGAACGGGGACGGGGAGCAGGGGGCCAGTCGCCTGTGAGAGTCCCAGTCACTCAAGGTCACGTGGGAGAGCAGTAGTGCAGTCTCTCACACCGTCCCACCCAGACATCGCCTGCAGAGTCTCAGGCAGTCACGGAGCCACACACATGGATGGTATCACACACGGTCCCACTAACAGACAGAGAGGCTCAGCACAGAATGCCACACCCTGCTCCTCACAGGACATGTCCCTCACGCGTGTTCACAGCTGTGCAATGTACAGTCCCATGCAGAGAGCCCGGGTCCTCGCCCCCAGGTTGACATTCGTCCACAGGGACACACAGCCATACATCCTACTGCAACTTTCCAGGGCTCCAGCGACGCTGTGTGAATCACACACGTTCACACAGCCACCAGGCCACGTCACGGACACCGCTTGGGGCGCACTGGCCTGTGTGCCCCCTGAAGAAAGGCCCAGGGCATCTCTGCATTGCCAGTGTCACTCGGCACAGGTTTGGGCATGGAGCAGAAAGGCTCAAAGAATGGTTGTTGTTTAAATAAATGCAGTTTCATGGTTCCTCACACAGCCCTGTAACCCTTCAGTGACACAATAGGTAACTCACAAGGTCACACAGCCATGCCCATGACCTCTCCCCTGGCATTTCACACACTTCACATAGTCCCATCACCACCCCAGTGACACCCCGTCCCAACTGTCACCGAGGCACACACTCTCGCAGACTCCCCGCAGCACACCGTCAGGCTGTCACCCTCACACGGTCACCCCCAGTGCCGTGGGGGTGCACCGATACACAACTCTCTCCATCACAGCCTCTCCCACACTTGGAAGTCACACAGCATCACCCCACGGGCCCCCAGGGACCCACAGCCTCACTTGGCCTCCGGGCCACAATCACCACTGACGTCCGCATCTCACCGTCCCTACTTCCATTTGCCCTAAAATACGAGGGGCATCTGTACATGGGGGGGGGGGGGAGGCTTAGAACCGGAGTCCCAGCTCTTGGCCTTCTCAGGGCTCTCGGCTCCTTTTAATACAAACTACCAGTGGGTACACATTCATCATGCTATCAACATTCGAGAGCACACACTCCCCTGGGACCTGAGGGACAAGTGGGTCAGAGGTGAGTCTGTCCATTTTTCAGAGGGAAAACTGAGGCCTAGAGGCCCGAGGAGAGGCAGGGAATAAGGGGGGGGGGCGTGAGGTCCAGCGTCAGAGGCTGGAAGGAAAGGGAGGCAAGGCTGGGGGGGGGCAACACGGGGGCGACACGGGGGCATCCTGATTTCCTGACCTCCAGATGGCCTCCCCGCTCTTTGCCCCACATTCCTGGCGCCCTTTGGGTCCTGGGAAAGGCTCCGTCCGTGGGGTGGAGAGGGGAAGGAGTCTGAGATTGCCCAGTACCTCGGGGAGAGGCTGGGGGTGGGAGGGAGTCTCTCCTTGGTCCCCAGGGAACCTGGGGGGCGTCTCTCTGCTAGGGCCAGGAAGGTGGGGGGGGAGGTTGGAACAGGGGAGGGAAGAGCCTAGGAGGGAGGGGAAGCAGTGGAGAGAATCTGAGGTGGTAGAGAAAGAGGAAAAGAGACCAAAGATCAAGAACAGGGACAGGGACAGGAAACGACAGAGATGAGAGAGACCGAGAGACAGAGACAGGAAGAAAGAAATCGAAACGGACAGAAATACACAGAGAACAAAAAAAGAGGAACCAGGGGCCCTGGCTGGCATGGCTCAGTGGATTGAGCGCCAGCCTGTGAACCAAAGGGTCACCGGTTCTATTCCCCGTCAGGGCACGTGCCTGGGTTGCAGGGGCCAGGTCCCCAGCAGGGGGCGCCTGAGAGGCAACCACACATGGATGTTTCTCTCCCTCTTTCTCCGTTCCCTCCCTCTCTAAAAATGAAGCCGAGATAGAGACATTGAGAGATGGAAATGGGATGGAAATGGGGAGATGAAGATGAAGAGGGGCGGAGGGAGAGGGGGTCTGAAATATGGGGCCCTGAAGAGAGATGAGCAAGGCAGGAGCTGCACGAGCGCCATGCTGGGCTCAGAGTCCCGAGGCGCTCCACCACGCCTTCCCGGAGAACGCAGAATAGAACAGCGCATAAAGTGGGGGCATTGGGGGCGGGCCGGGGGCAGGAGGGGAGATGCCTGGGTCCCTGTCTGGCCCCCTGTCCTTTCCAGCTCTCCCAGGGTCCTCTGCAGGCTCCTGGGACCTGGGGAGGGGGCAGCATGGCCTCCCCAGTTCCTATGCTCAGGGTTTCAGGAAACTGCAAACAGAGGAACAGCCGTGCCCTTTCCCTCACCCTTCTCCTTCTCCGCTGTCCGTCTCTCTCTCTCTGGTTCGAATCCCCCTGCCCCCTTGTTCTCTAAGCTCACACTCGGTTTGTCTGTCTTCCTCTCTGGCTTGCCGGGCTATCTTTTCTCTCCATCCCACGCCCCCACCCCCACCCCCAGGTTTCATTCTATCCCTCTGCTTATTTCTCTTGCTCTCTCACCTCCAGATCAGACTCTTTTTGCCTGTCTTTAAACTTCCTCCTTTCTCTTCCCCTTTCCCCCATCTTCTCACTGCATGCCTGTCTGTCTGTCTGTTTCTCTCCCTCCATTGCCCTGGTTCTGGGTTTCTAGCCTGTGTTGTCCTCTCCCTCCACCTCCCAGCGAGGAGCAGGCAGTGCCCCCACCCGAGGATGCCATGTGGGGAGGAAGCTGGAGGGCCTGTGCCTCCCCCATGGGGCTGCCCAGCCAAGCAGAGCCCGAGGGAGCAGGCAGAGGCCTGGAGGGTCAGCAGATGGTGCAGGAGAAATGAGGCAGAGAAGGATGGGGAGAGCGGGTGCCCCACGGGGACTGAGACCAGAAAGGGAAGGCTGAGCGGGCCCCCTGAGATTCAGGACTGCTGAGAGGAGGTCGGACAGATGGAGACCCAAAGAGAGAGACACGCACAGAGACAGAGAGATACAGAGAGTGAGAGACAGCAATAGAGAGACGGGCTGAGAGAGACGTACTCACAAACATGGGGACCCAGGGACAGGCAGAGAGAGATGGAGGCTGAGGCCTGTGCCACGGGGCCCAGGGAGACAGAGCGACAGTGCTCCGGGGACAGGGACGCGCACAGTCACACACAGTCCAGAGGAAGACAGGAACCCAGAGACAGGGGCCTAGAGAGAGAACCACCGTACAACACGGCGTCTGAGAGAGAGACAAGGATCCGAAAGACACGGAGACGTAGCGACGTGACGCCCAGCCAGACGGAAACGTGGAGAAACACAGACGGGGACCCAGGGAGAGGGAGCGAAAGGTGGGGGAAGACGCCCAGGGAGATGAGACCCAAGACGCAGGCATCCAGAAAAACAGGTGGAGATGGAGAGATGGGAGGGAGGGAGAGATGGGGAGAAAGAGGGACTTGGGATGCAGAAAGATAGATGTGGGGGTAAGAACTCTCTCAGACACGACCCCACAAAGGCAAGATGCCCCGCTCCCCTCGCCCCCTTCTGGACGGGGGTGGGCAGTGTCCCCCCACCTAGCCTCCCCTCCCCCCTGCAGCACGTCTCCATAGAGACCTCCCCAGATCCGGAGGACAAATATTATCCCGGCCAGAAACTGCGGGTCTGTGTTGACATAATCTCGTGCTGGTGGGGTGGGGGCTCCAGGGGCCCGAGAAGCCAGGATGGGGGCAGCAGAGCAGAGGGGCGCTCGTCTGGAGCCTCACAGCCAGTTCCGACCTTCCCCCACCTCCAAATCGGGGTGCAAACCTCCCTGCCCTGGGGGGAGCCCCTGAGAAACTTGTAGCCTTGGCTGCCCCCTGGTGGTGGCGGCGGGTGAGCCCTGAAGCCCGTTTCCTAGCTCAAGGAGAGCAGGCTGGTCTAAGGCATTTTCCTCCAGGTTTCCATCGTAGAATCTGGCTCCTTCCCCCCCCCCCCCATCCGCAGCCCCTGCTCTGGCCCAGGGACCACCTTTTCCAGGTCTTCCAGATTCGGGCCTCTCTCCCCTCCATCGCTCCGCAGCCCCGCCCTCCAATAGGACAGCGAGGTAGAGTGGTCATGCTAAACCAGACCCTGTTCCACCCCTGCCCAGAACCTGCCATGGCTCCCCAGTGCCCTCAGGAGAAAGGCTCGGGCTCCTCTCCACGGCCTCCGAGCCCTTCTTTCCATGACTTTTTAATTCTTCAAACTCTTCCCGGAGCGCCCACCAACCTTGGCTCTAACAGTTCTCTCTGCTTCCAATGCCTCTGCCCACGTTTTTGAGTCCTCCCAGCCCATCTCAAAGTTAGCTCATTCATTCATTCAACAAATAATTATTTTCCCTCCTGGACTGTGAGCTCTGTGAGGGCAGGGCTGCAGCTGGCTCAGTCACTCTGGGTGCCCAGCATCGGTGGCACAGACCAGGGTCCCATTCATTTGGGGTACAGGGTACCTATCAGGGCCTGGGCGTGGCCATGCTGGGGGCCTGGGTGGAGGCAACAGCCCCTGTCCTGGCCCCATGGAGAGCCTGGGCACACACCCAAATAGGGAGACAGACTAACAGAAGAGAAATGCAAAGAAAGAATGAGCCATAAAAGGGAAAAAAGAAGCTGAGAGAAAAGCAAAGTCAAGATTAATAGTAGTCATGGTAATAATAATAATAATAATAGGTACCAAATAATGTGCATTTTACATGTATGTGTCTCATTTAATCCTCATAACAGACTCTCAGCAAAAGTATTTGCATCTCTCTTTGCCAGAGGAAGAAACCGAGGTTCAGAGAGGGTACGTAACTTGCTCAGGGTGACGTAGCTCGTAAGCGATGGACCAAGGACCCAATTTCCAGAGACAGACACAGCGAAGAGAGAGGAAGGCAGCATGGAGAAGGGAGACTAGAGGCACAGGGAAAAGACAAAGCACGTCCCCTACCCTCTAGCCTCCTCCCCGTACCTGCCCATGAAAGCCCTTGTAATAACACCAGC